TTTTATGATGTAAAATGAATTAGAATTAGGCGATTCTGCACTATTTCTTGGGCACAATTCTACTCAATTGCATTTTCCACTGCCATTTTAAAATGAAAGCAGCTGAGGTACTTTAGACATGTAGGGTTTTTTCTAGGTGTCCATGATAAGTGGAAGAGAACTGGCACATACAGGTGGCACCCTGGACAAGCTGGAGTCTATACCTGGGTTTAAAGTCAACCAGTCAGTTGAATGGGTAATATGGGATTTTTTTAAACTTCAAATGATGCTCTAACTAGTTTGACTAGTCGTTTTATTTAATTAAGTATTATCAGTTATTTATTATTATTATAAACTGAATTGAATTTAAGTTACAGTTAATGTGAGCTTATCCTGATTTTATTCCCCATTCTAACAGTTCTAGCAAAAAACAGTGAAACTTTTTATTTGAAAGTATAAAGTGCTGGTTTACAGGTTGCATACATTTAAAAAAAACGTGATGAGCAGAAGGATGTCAAGAAAATAACATTTAATATATAATATAACATTTTATCAATAGCTATACAATTTTTTAGATTTGACAGCAGCACAGAATCATCTGTTCAAGAGAACACTCATTTAAATGAGGAACTGACTAATGTGTACTAACATCATAAAATCCTGCTAACCATGTCTTCCATGGTCTGTTTTAGCATTTATAATTAATGTTGTTATTGAATATGAGCGTCATCAAATAAATTTTTACCACTGACTGTAATCCTTATATAATGAAATCTATGTAAATGAATGTAGCCCATGTACTGATTCATCACAGCATGCTGTTTTTGCCAAACTAAAAAGTTAGAAGTCAGAACTCAGTAAAAGGTTATTACCATTGTACTATTACTACAGTAGCCTAATTTTGTAGTATATTACACAAAATGTATATATTCATAAAATATCCAGATGCAGAGTGACATAAACCAGATATTTTTTTATTAACATTTATGAACACAATTTATTAATTATTATTTTTAAAATAATTTCATGACTCATTATGTGATTGGACTGCCAAATGTTACAACATTAAAATATATTATGCATTTTTTATATTATATGTTTCTAGGTGAAGCAGATCCTAGAGGATGTGGGCTGTTGCATTGTGGAACAGACAGAGACAGATCGTGTTCTCTACGCCATCCAGAGACGCCACATCAACTGTTGATAGTCTTCCTCTTATCATCAGTAAGATTAACCTGAAAAACTTCTCATTGCAGTGTTAAGCCCACTTCTTATGATTATTGTTGTCCATGTTCTGCACAGGTTCCATCATCTCTAAGAAAGGAGCTGAAGGTCTGAGTGCTCTTGTGTTAGATGTGAAGTTTGGCAGAGCTGCTCTGTATAAAGATTTAAATAGCGCTCGGCGTCTTGCTCAGTCACTGGTAAGAGAGCTTTTAGCGTTTGCACTATTATCACTACATTATCATCTATTATAATCATGCAACATATATTTTTTTTATTAGAAATTGCATCCAAAGTTCACTTGATTCGAAATATGCTGTTTATGTGTTCATCAGGGTTACACAAAGGTCAGAACTGAAGAATTCATGAGTGTGAATTTAAACTGAACATAGGAATTTGAATAACAAATTGAATTGCAATTATTAAACACAGGTAGATTCTGGGAAATTAAGCTTATTTAAAGTTAATTTATCAATTACATTAAAATATATACACAAAATTCAATTTCTATATTTGGCATTGCAATACAGGTGCATCTCAATAAATTAGAATGTCGTGGAAAAGTTCATTTATTTCAGTAATTCAACTCAAATTGTGAAACTCGTGTATTAAATAAATTCAGTGCACACAGACTGAAGTAGTTTAAGTCTTTGGTTCTTTTAATTGTGATGATTTTGGCTCACACAGCTTATTTGGCAATGAATGTTTGTGGATTACCCTCCTTGTGAAGGGTGTCAATGATTGTCTTCTGGACAACTGTCAGATCAGCAGTCTTCCCCATGATTGTGTAGCCTAGTGAACCAAACTGAGAGACCATTTTGAAGGCTCAGGAAACCTTTGCAGGTGTTTTGAGTTGATTAGCATGTCACCATATTCTAATTTGTTGAGATAGTGAATTGGTGGGTTTTTGTTAAATGTGAGCCAAAATCATCACAATTAAAAGAACCAAAGACTTAAACTACTTCAGTCTGTGTGCATTCAATTTATTTAATACACGAGTTTCACAATTGGAGTTGAATTACTGAAATGAACTTTTCCACGACATTCTAATTTATTGAGATGCACCTGTATATCTCCAGTATCCTTCTGTATAGTTCTTTCTGTCCATAGGCCCTATAAATCTTCTAATGACTTCAAGAGTTATACTGTTTTCAAAACTTTCAAGCAACGCTATTAACTATTTGCAAAATAAAAAAGACTTAATACCTAATTTGATCATGAGAAGTTTAAAACTTTGTGGAAAATCTTTTCATAACGGACAGATTTTATTCAGTTTTTATCAGCTTTAATGCACTTATCAAAATAACAAATGCAGTCAAATGTCAAAAGTTGTAATGACAAAAATAAGTATTTAAAATCTATTGTTTAACTTAAAAGCTGCAAAGGAGTGGAAAAAGTAAAAAAATAATTTGCCAATGTCTTCAGAATCATTCATACATGTGAAAATCGGCTGAAAATTGAACAAGTAGTTGGTCAAGTTGTTGTTATTTGTGGTATTTTGTTGCATATATTTTGCATTTGTGGTGATTAAGGGATAATACAAGACTTCTCAATCTTACAAATGGCCGTCAAAAGAAAAAATGCTATTAAATACACATCATGTTTTGTAAGAAAGTGACATTCTAGAACAAAATGGGTACTGTTTTTGGAATCAGAATAAGAAACATGTATTTAATTTAATTCTGCATTCTGCATTCTGTTTGCAACTTTAAATCAAATTCGAACCCAATTCAGGATTTGAATTGGCATTTAAAAGTGATTCTCAATTTAATGGTTATACAATACTGGTGTCCATTTGCCAATAGGTCACTGCAGGCAACAAGTTGGGTGTGAAGACAGGGGCAGTGCTCAGCCGAATGGACGCTCCCATTGGCCAGAGTTTGGGAAATGTGGTTGAGGTGTGTGAAGCACTTGAGTGTCTTCAATGACGAGGGTCAGATGATCTCAAGGAACTGGTCACAAATTTAGGTAAGGAGAAGGACCCACTTAAACATACTACTGTAAGATGCCACAACAGAACTTAATTGTACTCTAGAGAGTGGGGAAACTGAAATCGCTGTGAAACTGGAGAATGGAGAAGCCCTGAATAAGTTTGAGGCGATGCTGGTGGCTCAGGGTGTCTGCAGATGATGCACATTCCCTGTGCTCGAACAAGACCGACTACTTTGAGCACATGAAGCGTGCAGCGCATCAGACAGAGCTCGAGGTGCTAGATGATGGTAATTATGTTCCATGTTCTCGTTTGAAAATCAGATATGTTAATTATTTTACATAACACTAACAGCACAGGCATGATTATAAACAGATCGCACAGAGCGCGCTATTAATATTCACTGTTATTCATCTACATGCAATCATCACGTCCATTATCTCAGCAGCAGCCATTGTGTGTGTATGTGTGAATTGTTTGATTGACAGGAGCCGTTTTGGACATTGACGGTTTGGCACTGACTGAAGTGCTGCATAAACTAGGCGCAGGGCATACTAAATCGGGAGAGGAAATCGATCCTAGTGTGGAAGCAGAGATCTTGATTGAGATGGGACAGCAGGTACAGAAAGGTTAGTCTCATTTATCTCAATATATGACTGTTTGGAATGAAAAATGTATATACTTCTAACTAAAAAAGTATACCGACTACTAAAAAATTGTATGTGAAAGTTTTCAATATGCAACACTAAACACTATGCAATAGCGATCGTATATAAAAGACACACTTCACCACAATGCATGTTTACCTCAGCAAATGGCTTCCAGTTGTCCTAGAAATAAAATCCTGTTATTTTTAAATGTAATTTAAAATAACTATTTATTGTTAATTTAATTTATAATCCAATTTTGTATAAAACATTTGGCAGTCCTATCAAACGATGAGTCAAGACTGATATTAATATTGCTTCTGGTTCATTCATCACAGTGGAAATGAGTCAAATTGCATTGTGGGATATATCATCCACCATAGTGTGCTGTAGTTGTAGACTAAACATTTATGCGAATAAAAAAAAAAAGTTAAATCTGAAATATTCAACCATACTATGAGTATTAGATCACATTTCATAATAATATTAAAAATTTTGTTTAAAAAAAAATCTTTTATCTTCCTCCGGTTCATTAATCACACTGGAAATAGGTTAGATTGCATCACCCACTATAGTATGCTACGCTGTATACTAAACATTTTCAAAAATGTGAAAATGTTAAATCTGATATACTCACTCATACTACGAGTAGTAGGTCATATTTCATGTCAAAATAAAAAATAAAATCATATTGCCAAATTGCATTGTGGGGATATATAACCCACCATTTCACAAATGTGGAGATATTAAATTTGCATGCTGTGCACCGTATACTTAGTGCCAAAATAGTATGAGTAGTGCTGTAGTACTAGTTTTTCAAAAACAGCCGACCTTTATATCTCTGTATAGTATTTATCGAGACGAATCTGTATTTATACCCTACTGATTCAATTGGCAGGTCAATCATGGATCAGGATTCATCACAATTGCCCAAATCTGAATCCACACTATTCTGACCTGCAGAAAGCTTTGGTCATTGGCAGCCATGACAAATACGAGACAGTATCACGTGTGGCAGAATTCATCCCCCCAGATAATCACATGTCATAAAAGCCTCAATTGAACCGTATTTTGTTTGTAACAAATATTTCAGTTTGAATGTACTGAAACTGTTTTCTTTATATGAAGCACTAGGGAGTTTTTACAAGAAAAAGCTGACAGACAAAGACTCACACTGACATTTGAGCTCTGCATCTGGAAAATCTTTAAACATATTTGCTTACCAGTAGCTGGAACATTACTGTAGCTCAGGTCTGCTCAATCCCGTCCTGTAAAATTTAGTTGAAGCTGTAAACAAAATCCCCTATACCAGATGATCAAGGCCTTCAGCTTGAATTTGAAATTACAGCCAGGTGTGTTGGGAGCAGGATTGAGCACACTAGAATAGCAGATGAAACGCTGCCACCACTCGCTCGCAGAGGAACTGCAGCATTACAGACCACAAACCTCTGAAGAGCTCCAGAATCTCAGAAAACAGGGTCAGCGCTCATTCTTATTGTATAAAAAGCATCTACGATGATGCCTTCAGATATTCATAGATTTGTCAGAAGGTAAAAGGAATCTGATTCCACAATGTGAATTCAGTTTTGGTTTTTCAAAATGCCTTTAAAGCGTAACACTAGTGCTTCATTTATATTTTTCAATGAAGTCTTTCTGTGTTTATTTAATCAAACCAATTAATCAGTGTGATTATCTTTTTTTTAATAAATGGAGGTTGGAGAAGAGATGATCTTTGCTGCCATGTAGTGGTACAAATCATGTCCAACATGGCAGCGATGGTGAATCCCTAATGTAATTTGCACATTTTCTACATCCTTACAGTAAAAGCTGGTTTTGAATATCTGGAGACATATCTAAAAAACAAACACTTCATAGTTCATCCTAAATTCAAAAGCAAAGTAATACTAATAAGAAAAAAATTTTTCGTGATAAATTTCCAGATTGTCAGTAGCCAACATTTTCATTAATGTGATTTATTTCTTTTTTTGTAAAACGAAATCCATTAATTATAATATTTTACGTTATTGTAATGAAAGTTTTTTTTGGGGGGGGGGGGGAAATGCTTAACTGTAACAAAAAAAATAATGGCCCTAAAATAGGTTTCATTTTTTTTTATGCAATAAAAAATTGTATTCCTTTTGACTTGTTGTGAAATATAACCTGGATATGTCTTTGAGAGATTTATCATATTTTACAGTTTATATTTATGACAGTCTTGTTTAAGTTTAAATTTGAACTAGGAATTGACCAGGAATCAGTTACTTACATCAGTCATCATCGCCTTGTTTTTTTTTTTCCTCCATCAAAAATAAAAAGAAATACTTAAATCAAAAACTTTCCCATGTTTTTTATTTCAGCACACGTAAAAAAAAGGATATGCATTCAGTCTATTTTCTTCAAGATTAAAAAAGCAAATAATATTTCTGCTTTTCGATGCCTGAAGATGTCCTAGGGTAAGTCTTCAAAAGGGAGACGGGGAATTTCTTCTAAACGTGGATTTTTCCACCCTGGATCGGGAGGCATCAGTGCGCCACAGAATTGAGCGGTTCTGCTCTTATGTTTCCAAGATCCAGCGCAGAATCTGTTTCTTCATCGATTTCACCGATTACAGCCCTTAAACACATAAACATACAAGCCTTTAAAATCCAATAAAGTCTGCAGTTGCTTTAAACAATGCAAATAAGTAGCACAAATACATACACATTATCGCCTCTGACAATATACAGTCCCAGAACCACCTGCTCTACGCCCTGGGAAGAGCTGAACACCCGCTCATGGCTTTCATCCAGGATGAGATTGATCGTCTGATCGAAGCCCTTTAGCGTCCCCTAAATACAAAACAATAAAAGTCATAAGCAGGCTCCTTTATTAATGCACATAAACAATGTTACTAAAGGAGATGAGAAAGACTCACCACAATCATTCTGCCATCTGAAGTGATAATAGCAACCGTCCCTTGAATAATGTCAGTTAAGGAAATATCAAGCTCATAAATACTTACATAGACAATCATATTCAATTAAATGTATGTATATGTGTGTGTAATTAAGTATATATTGGATATATAAAAAAAATAGAAATATGCATCTCACTACACTATACACGCAGTTCAAGTCTCAATATATAATCAATGTATAAATAGTAGCACATGTATAATTAAAAGTATTATGCATGCATAATAATTCTATGTAACAGATATAATTAAGACTTTACATGCATGCATTTATATATAGTAAACATACCATACACACAATTCATCATGCATATTTACTGTATATGTATGTAGTACATATCAAATCTGATACATTACGTATACATGCATGCATACTAAAACGCGTTAGTGACTTCATCATGCTCATCAAAACACGCTAAATCACTTGATAGCGCGCGCCACAAATCGCGCCCATTGAAACACATAACCACCTGACATGAAAACAACACAACGCCACCAGCCAACGATCTACAACATCGCCATCATCAAGTGCATCAAAGGATACGGTTAATGTAGCTCTCAAGAGCGGTAGACATCTCTGCTGGAGCGTGTTTATATCCACCGGTTCTTGAGCACAACTACAACGAAACACATTCGCTCAGCTGCGACCTGAACCGGAAATGAGAACGGAAAGACTCGAGTAGCCGACGACCTATCGCGGCAGTACTAGTCGAGTAGGAGCAATCGAACCTGTGGTACTGTATTTGTCCAGAAAGTGGCGAACTCTATAGGTTTCTTACAAGTAGGTCTATATCAGGGGTGTCCAAACTCGGTCCTGGAGGGCCGGTGTCCTGAAGAGTTTAGCTCCAACCCCAATCAAACACACCTGAACCAGCTAATCAAGCTCTTACTAGGTATACTAGAAACTTCCCGGCAGATGTGTTGAGGCAAGTTGGAGCTAAACTCTGCAGGACACCGGCCCTCCAGGACCGAGTTTGGGCACCCCTGGTCTATATAATACGGTTTCTAACGAGCAACCTTTGAGATTCGAATCAGTTCTTGGTGAAAAGACTAATTGTTTCAAGGTCACAGTGGGGGCTGATGGAAATACTGATGGCGATGGAACTTATACAAAAGTATTGTGGTGGTACAATAGTGACGCTACTTTGATTTGTAGAGTATATCACATTGATGCTGTTTACATGGCATTTCAAATATTACTTTGCTATTATCAGGATAAATGTTCAAACTATGATGTTACCATTGTATATTTCCAAAAAAAGAGACATGGTATTGCAAACTATGGCAAATCTTGGTATGAAGCTGGAGAAACAATAATTACCTAAACAATCCATTGCACAATCATACACTCTAAAAAATGCTGGGTTAAATACAACCCAGCACTGGGTAAAATAGGGACAAGCCCAGCAATTGGGTTGTTTTTACCCAGCGGTTGGGTTACTACCCAGAAGGTTGGGTTAAACATGGCTCAAAACAACCCAATTGCTGGGTTTGTCCATATTTTACCCAGCACTGGGTTGTATTTAACCCAGCATTTTTTAGAGTGTAGCTAAAGGAAATAAACCAGATGATAATTGTTCACATTATGAACTCTGTCCAAACCCCTCATTACAATACAAAACACCAGGCACATGCTGTTGTAAAGCACAACACAAGTGATTAAGTGTTTAAGTTAATCATTTATGTTGTTATGAGGAAGTGAACTTTAAGCCTGAGATGCATTAGAAGAAGAATCTCCAGGAAACCATTATGGTAACAAATGCTATATGAAACACATACTTGAACCAGGGAAGAAAAATGGATGTATAAAATCAAATCTTTTCCGACAGTTTAGACTTTTACCATACCAAATTGGACAAATAACAAGGGAAACTGGTTTAGCAATACAGGTAATTCTTTGAAAGTGGTTTTTAAACAACGGAAACTTGTTTAATTTGTTTTTAATTTCTATTCATCAAGTAATATGTTCTTCTTGTAACTTATCTCTGTTTTCTGTTTCCACGCAGCCTGTTTCAGATCTCAAGTGAAGCTGTGACAGTTTATTAAAGGCAACATGAAAGCAGACGACAAACTTCAGATCTTGAAATTCTTTCTAATGCTGGTCAATTCCTTCTTTGTGGTAAGATAAAATAACCGTAGATCTGTATGTTATACTGGCAATGATTTTAGAGACATTTCTTGTTTATCACTTACAAAGAAAGAACTTCCTGGACTGCAGTCAAATCTATTAATCATACGGTGGACACTGTAATATGATAAAGCTTGTTTTCTGCCAGCAGTGTGCAAAAACAGACTTCTGCACCCGTTAAATAAAACATCTTAATTCATGCATGTCTACATGTACAAACAAGTAACAATTTACATGATCTTGACAGATTCTTGGCATCAGCATTTTTGCATGTTCTGCTTGGATTTTATTTGATAAGGACAGCTTTGTAAGTGTTCTCAGCTCTGGTAAGTTTTCCTGTTTGTCATAGTCTATCATTATTCAAAATAGCAGCTTACACAATGCATGTTATTGCAATTTGCCTCAGATTATCTATAATAATGTATTAGGACAAGATGTTATTCTCTCTATTAAAAAGTATACTACTTTGCCGTAGCCAATTTTGTAGTGTCCTTCAATATGATTTTGGTGTGTGTTAATGAAGCAAAACCTGTGGTCTCTCAGAACAGGAAGTGAAGGTGGTGGCTGGGGGGCTCTTTTTCATTGGCCTTGTTGTGGTTTTGGTGTCCTTGCTGGGTTGTGCTGGTGCCTATTTTGAGAGCCGATGTTTCATCATATTTGTAAGCATAATTCATGCAGTGCACAAAGACACTAATAACTTTTACCCTGTTTTCGGAGTTGCAATAAAAGCTTGGTGTTAACTCTTCTCGGTTTTTTCAGTATATGTGCTTCTTGATCGTCATCATACTGGGTCAGCTTTTCATCACCTTTGTGCTATTAATACGAAGAGACAAGGCAAGTCTTTGCAGAAATTATTAATACTGTAACAAAAAACACAGCTGGCTTCAACTTCACACACGAGATTCCAATGATAAAGTGATTAAACGAATTGTCTAACACATGTTTTGAATGTTACCAGATTGAGCAGTTTTTGAGGGATAATGTGGACGAGATCATTAGGGAGTATGGAGGAAATGAAACCCAAACGTCTTGGAAACTTCTAGACAGTGTGCAGACTTCTGTACGTGGCTGATTTACATCTGATTGTAACTATTTTTGCTAACAATCAGCTATAGAAAGGTGTTTTGATAGAAGTGTATTTTTTTTGCTGTAGGCACAATGCTGTGGTAGGCTGACCTCAAACGAATGGAGGAATAACACATTTATTGAGTCCTGGGGGGAGACTGACATCTACCCTTGCTCCTGTTTTAACGGTACCTGCCCTGTAATTCTGCCTGGAACACACAGCTTTGGAAGCGGATCAGACATCTATGAAACGGTAACATATGTTGCCTTTTTTCCATCATTACAACCTTTTCAGTTATTCTCCTCGTTTTAATTTGCACACTAAAGCAGTTTTTTTGGTGATAGGGCTGTGAGAAGGTTCTAGTGGACTGGTTAGAGATGAATATAATCGTAATATTTGGAATGGATGTTGGGCTTCTTTTGATTCAGGTAAGGAGAGACCAAAAAATAAATAAATTATTTTTCACATATATGTAAACAATTAAAAATATATTCTGGGACAAATAAAAGGCAAGCACCTTGGACTTAACTAAAATAATTGTTGTATGTTTCTCCCTTGGATTTGAATTAACACAAGTTAAACATGGTTGACTTGTACAGCAATAAATAAATAAAAAATTAAGAAATAAAAATAATTGTATATTTCTACCTTGCAATGCAATTCATTTCAGTAATAGAGTTTAACTTGTATAGTAGTTTTAAAAATACAATAAAACTATTAAAAATATATAAATAATAAAATAAAAAACAATTGTTCTCCCTTGGAAGTGCATAATGAATCAGGGTATCTTCCGTCCAATCAATTTTTGTTTTAATATTGAAATCTGAAAAATGAAAAACGGGCACATATTTCGTTTTTCAATTATTCAAACAAAACGAAAAATCAAGAATCCGGCTTAATTTTTCGTTTTTACATTCAGGGATAGAAAACGAATAAACAACTTGAATATTCGATCTCTACATGTGGGCGGGAATGAAACGCCCCTCTCTGCTAATTGGTCAACCAAACATTACAACATAATAATAGTCCTAAAAAAACTTAATAATAGTCCTCCGCTTCTATTGATTCTTAACATGTTTATTTCTACTACATTTTATCTCTTCATCAAACAGCCAGATTAATGAATGGCTTGACACAAACCATACTGAAGCAGAGCCTTTTGGCCCTAGGCATGCCTGTTTTATTATAGTTATCCACCCATTAAAATATGTGTGGCAAAGCTGCGCGACGCACTGCAGCACGGGGAGAATATTGACCACTATCAATTTATGTGAACAAACAGTCATAACTTTTGTTTTAGACAATACGCTGCATTTTAGACAAAGGAGGAACTTAAATAATATTACAGATATGAAAATAAATGACTTTGTGTAATTTACCTTCACAGCACATCTATTATTTTTCTATTTTGAGTTTTATTCATAGAGCACTTTATACAAATTTAGGAAATCATCTGTTATTATCCCACTGGCATGGGACTATTTGTTCCTCACAGTGCTTGTTTCAGTGATTGACTTTAGTGAAATGTGAATTTGACGTCATGATTTGAAGGTGAACTCGTTTGAGTTATAAGAACATATCCAAACCCTGAAATAACACTTCGAACAATAAGCCAGTGTCAGCAGTATCAGAAATTAACTTTCACATAAGGGGCAACTGATTTTCAGTTTTTTATTTATTTATTTATTTTATTTTATTTTTTTACCTTTTACCTTTTTGAATAATTGAAAAACGAAATATGTGCCCGTTTTTCATTTTTCAGATTTCAATATTAAAACAAAAATTGATTGGACGGAAGATACCCTGATTATAATGCATTACAAGTTAAGCATCTTTGACTTATACAGCAAAAATAAAACCAAAAAATAATTGTTTGATATTTCTCTCTTGCAAGTGTATAATCCAATTCATTGTAGTGATTGAGCTTAACTTGTATTTAACATAAAATAAAAATGTGTTGTATATTTCTACCTTGTAAGTGTATAATGCAATTAATTTCAGTGATTGAGCTTAACTTATATTTAAGCTAAAATAAGATAAAATTAATAAATAATAAAATAAAATAATTAAAAATATCTAAATAATAAAATACAATTGTTGTATATTCTCCCTTGGAAGCACATAATGCAATTCAAGTTAAGTATCTTAGTCAGCAAAAATATATTAAAGATACATTCAGCATACAGCAAAAATAAAACAAACAACAAAATGGGATATTTCTCCCTTACAAGTGTATAATCTAATTCATAGTAGTGATTGATCTTAACTTGTATTTAACCTGGAATAAAATAATAAATATTAAATAATAAAAATAGAATGCATTTTAGTGACTGAAGCTTAATTTTTATTTAACTTGGAATATTTCTAAATGATTTCGGATCATATTGTCTTGTAATTCTCAGATTCTGCAGTTCATCTTTGGTGTCCAAACCTTCAAATGCATCGGCCGTAAAACGAGGGAACTGCATCCCAATAATCTCCTGAACGCCATGGAGGAGAATCCTGCAGCGCAGCCTGAACCCCAGCAGTACAGTATGGAAAATCAGCAGTTTGATACTCAAACCTATGACCCTCAAACGGACAATGGCTACTATCATCACGGTGGATATGTTGCCGGGAATTATGACCAGTGTAACAATCCTGAATTTTATGAACCGGATAACCGTCAAATGTACAATAGCCATCATAATTTGCAATACCAGCAGAGCTGCAATGGCAGTTATGGTCAGGGATACATGCAGCACCAGAGCTACAATCCTGATGACTACTGAAGCCAGATTTCTTCTCTCGTGTAACGTGATCAGATTGGGATGGGCTAATTTGCGGTTTTAAAAATAGCATTCTGTGGTCTGTGCCTGACCAAAGACACTTAAAACCTTCTCGTAAGACCATTGTTTTGTTTCACTACGTTCAGGTTAGTGCCTGTTCCCAGGAGTATCATTTGTCATTTTAAAGACAACCAGCATCTTTTTCTCAAACAATTCATTCCAGACCTCTAAGGTCAAAGGCTTTTTAAGACAAAATATTTCTGTAGAAGTCAGAGCTCAGGGTTTGATGACAGACAATTAACTAATTTTTCTGGCAGATTTTCCATTTTATTTTAATGCCATGACAAGTTTACAGGTATTTTATAACTGTAGTAGTGTAATTATATAAAAATACTGACCTGAAATTATAACCAATATGAAACAATCCACAAAAACTAGAAACAATAATAATTAAAACACTGTTATATGGTAAAAATGTTTTTTTAAATAAAGAATAAAAATCTACATGATTTCTACTTGAATCATACAATTAAAAATAAACATGTTTTATATACATGCGCTATATTTATATTATTTTGATTATTACTAATCAATAGAGAACAAAAAACACAAACTGTATTTGAGATGCGTGTAAACCATTAGTCATCCTTTGCTTTTCGTGCCACGGAGATTCCTTGCTCTCAGTTGTGATATTTGGATGATTCCAGAGGTTGTTTTGTAAATCACTGCACACTCAGACCTGCTTTATGAGTCAAGAGTTGATGTTAATGACACTGGGGGCCTTTTAGTGTGTGAATGTATCTGTGTGTGTGTCAGAAGCTGAGTCGGCGAGTCAAGAGTAGGCTTTGACTGAAGTTTGATGGACGACACTCTCTATAGGCCATAAAGAGCGGCATGTCTATCCGCATGAGAGGGCCCTTTGTTACGGTCGCTCTGCGGTTGATGATAGCCAGGCTGACATTACCGACCTCGTGCGGTTATGAGTTGGCAGTCATGCTTTACGACAACAGTTGACAGCGCACGCATTGATGGAGACAATGTGAAAATTACATGGAGAGAAGCTTGAGATTTCCACTGCCAGCACCTGATTCTGCTCTGGACAGAGTGATGCACAGTGAGTCAATGGGAATTTTCAAGACTGTCTGGGATGTGCTGGGACAGTGACACAAAAGTTATTCGAAAATAGCATAAAAGGATCTTTTAGGTTGTATTTTGAGGGAATAGTTGATCTAAAAATGAAAACTGTGTCATTTACTCACTTTTGTGTTACTCAGGACTGTTGTGGAACACAAATTGAGATGTTTTGAACAATGTTTATGCTGCTCTTATAATGTGACAATGGCCTGTCAAGCTCTGAAAATAACAAAAAAAAAGCACCCTAAAAACTAGAAGATTGTCCATGAGACATATGGACTAAGTTTACAAAGCAGGGGCCGGCAACCTTTTGGGCATGAAGTGCCATTTTTAATTTTTCTGGTTAACCACTATGCCAATAATAAATATGAGGAATGTGAACCACTGAAATTTTGAAACGTTTTGAAACAGCTGTGACGTAACAAAGCCTCGTTTATTGAAATCACGTCTTTGGCAGTTTGATACGCGCTCCGAACCACTGGTTTGAAACCCCAGAGACAGGTAGGTTTAGGGGCGGGGTTAGCTGAAGGTCAATTGTACAAATTCATATGAATTGTGCAGCTCGTAAAATATGTAAGTTTTGGCCAAAATCCTATGAATTTGTACTAGTGAGGTCGTACGAATTAGCCACCTAATAAAATATGTACGAACTGCCATGAGATTGGGTTGGCGCAGCACTGATCTGAAGCGCCTCATATGCACACCGATAGCGCTAATGGTTTGAATGGTTCTGTAGACTAGCGCAGGTTAATTCTCACACTTTAATAGTATTTATAGCTCCTAACAGGCTGTGTGACTATGAGGAATGATTACCCCAAAATGTAGGTCGGTATGCAGTTTTCCCTTTTGCTCGCATGCCAGTGATCATCTCTCTGCGTCCCAATGTTGCCGACTCCTGTTCTAAAGCCATGGCAGCTTTGTGCAGAACAGATCGAAATGTAAGTCAATATTTACTGAAATTTCTCTCAAGTCTCATTTGTTCTGTTCTTATATTGTGACAATGGCCTGTCAAGCCCAAAAAAAAAAGCACCCTAAACACTTTGTAAATGTAATCCATATGACTCATGGGAATAATTCTGAAGCCAAAGGCCAGCTTTGCGCAGAACACACATAAGTCACATATAATGTATGAACTGGTAATTCAGTTCATACATTATATGTACAGCCATCAGTACAAAATATCAAACCAAGTGGCATCAACAAACCAAATGCAAAAACAGCTAATAAAATTTTTGCACTAATTTCAATCAACTGGTATAAAGTCATTCATACGTTGTAGTTCATCACATTTAATATAAACATGTTCAGTAGTTTGAAAACCACAATGTCTCCAAACCCATTTTTCTCAATTGTGTACAATATATGTATTATTTTATAGTTTGAAACCAAAATAAATTTATTTTTATAAAATGTTCTACTTGAAACGTATGTTTGTGCTTTATTTCTTCAAAATAGCCTAAAGGTAACTTGGTGTGATATTTTGTTTTAAAAAAATGCATTGAAAATCTAACATTAAGTGCAGCTTAAGCGTTCAAACACTTTGTTGTACAGAAAGAAGCAGCATGAACATTGACTAATCTATCTAATCTGAACATTGAAAAATCGATTCTAATCTACTCAGTTGGTCTTAATCTCAAAACAATGTTATTGAGTTACAGCGAGCAGGAAAACAGACACCGGAATGATCAAGAGATGCTATAGCAAGTGAGATTGAATTATGGGACATGAGTCATGTTGATGTTGCATCTTTACCATGTGAGCTCTTTTCTCATGCTCACTGGGTTTCCCCATTTTGTCACGAAAACAATCAGCTTTTGTTCCGCCGCTGGAGTGTGCGAGTTAATAAAACGCGGTCGGACCGATGACCTGGATTACAGACCCTCTCAAGAGCGACAGAGATGGAGTGTGTTTGTGTGAGAAAGACAGAGTTTGAATATGTTAAAGCTGGATGAAACAAGAGACGTCAGATACCTCCCTCTTCGGAAGAACCGGATCTTCTGAGGATCCCATCAAGTTCATTATTGGTTACCAAATGAGTAGTAAACGCCAAAAATCTAGGCATTGTTGTCCCCGCTGTAAATCAAACGTGTGTTTCAAGACAAGCCCGTGCTCTGTTCCAAAGATGTTTTCTGGTGCAAAATAAACCACCGTCCTCATGCAATGGGGCGCTGGCACAAAAAAGCCATTTATCCTCCTCGCGGAGGCCTGCAGGACCAGCAGCGTTCCTCAAAGCCAGCAAGCTGCCGCGGGCATCGCAGCAGACCAACCAATGCGCTCATCAAAGAGCCACACTTCCTGCCGGATGAAATTCTCCCATAGTTTTTAGGATGGCATCCCGTAATAACAGACTCTCATTGATTGGTTAAGCTCGACACAAGTTGCGATTCTTCTCTTCACCCTAATGTTTTTTTGTGATGAGCAGGTAAGGCTTGATGAGTAAGTTTAGAAACATCCCATGTATCCCTCCTGGAGCCAAAATATTCCCTTCATTGTCCGCTTCATAAACCTGGAGATTTCCACTACAAAATACTGCCATTTCCAATGAGTTTCCTCATGCATTTTTAATTTAAACCTCTGTGTCTGCACACCCTAAAGAATCCACCCACGCCCTAAAAGGATGCCACATGTTGATGGAAAAAAGGCTTTGTTAGGTCTTGTTTACTAACTGGTAAACAGACAAAGACTTGTTGCAATTAACAGATTGCTACCTGTCCTGTTGGCTGCTAGAGCTGGAATCAGGTTGCCCTTGCGCAGCTCCGCTGTGGGGCCCAGTTCTGCTTTCTTCAGCTCCGTCGTGGGGCTCATTCAAGCTGACTTCATGCATTCTTTGCGCACAACAGTCGCTTCTTCTGAATACCTGCGGATAGTATAGATCAAGATAACTTTGATGGATGACAAGTCCTTTCTATCATAATTGACCTCACTGCATTGAGACGTGCAAACTATGGGTGTTCTCAAAGCAGAGTGCTGTCAATGCAAAAATGCCAAAAATTTCATTGAGCACCTTCAGGGCTTCCTCACAATTGTGACGCAAGCCTCTGCTGCTGGTAAACATGGCTATACTTTGTAAGGGTATAAAAGGGTGAACTAACTAACCATCGTGACTGTGAGGACCAGAAGCGCCATGCTAGGGATGATGAGCAGCGCCAAGAGCCCATGAATTGCTCCGCTCATACCGTTCTGCTGTCTGCTTTCACCTGCCAGAACATAAAAGCACATTCCCTTCTTAGCTCTTACATGTACAGTACACTTTATAGCAAGAAGTATGTGGACACCTGAACGACACATTTGTGTTTGTTGAGCATTTCATTTAAAAAGCACTGGCATTAATGAGGTGATTAATCTCCCTAACGGCTTCCATTTTTCTTGGAAGGCATTCCACTATGTTGGAACATGGCTGTGGGGATTCACTTTCATTCAGACATAAGAGCATCAGAGATTCATTGTTAGTCTCCTAAATGTCATTAACGAAGAACTTGTAAAAAACAAAATTCATTGATACAACGGAGACAAAAAATTGTTATAATGACGATAATTAAGTTATAATGACGATAATATCTTTTAATTGCGATTTTACTGTTGGCCATGAGAATATTATTTGAAAAAAATAACACTGCAAGATATTAACAATGGAGTACCAACATTTAAAAAAAAAAAACTAATTACATTATAATTTTGAGAGATTTATCACTTAAGTGGTGCAAGCTGAAACTGAATTGCAAATGAAAACTGGTCAAATTAAGCGCTGATAATAATGTTACTGAAACACATACTATACATATGGGATTTACCATGTATTACGCACACAACATAAACGTCATCTTACAACTTGACACAAATGCCAAAGAAAACCTAAACTAAATTACATGCTAATCAGAATTCACTTTGTGAATATGGTCTTTCTGTATTTAATGCACAATGTATTAAAACATGCACAATGAATAAATCATAAATAATTCATAATACTCTACTGCAATAATGTAGTCATTATAATGTTATTATTTCATGAGCTCAGGTTCTCACAACAAGGACAGTTTTTACATGTTCTGTTAAATGTTGATAAAATTCATATTATATTAAAATGTTTGAATATTGAATTTAGCACTTTCTCAACGTAATATTGACTAAATGTAGAGGAAATTAAAAAGAATATATACATTTGTTATATTTATATATTTAAAGAATACAAGACAAAAACTTTGACTAAAACAAAAAACAAATACAGTAAGGGGTTCAAGTCTGGGCTTTGTGAAGGCCTGTCAAGTTCAGCCACACCGGGACATTCTCATGCTGGAACTCCTGTTTTACAAACAACATATCTACTGATTTTCCTGCTATATTGTGTGTTTTGCACACATGTGCTCAAATTTTGCATGCATGTGCTCAGTTCAAATTCATGTGCAGCCAAGATGGAATCAGCCTCCTTGGAACTCTGA